TGCCAAGAGAATGCACTGGTCATAGCAAACACCCTCTTCCAATGACACAAGAGAAAACTCTACACATGGACATCACCAGATGGTCAACACCAAAATCAGACTGATTATATGTTTTGCAGCCAAAGATGGATGCAGCTCTATATACAGCCAGCAAAACTAAGAGCAGGAGCTGACTGCGGCTCAGATCACAAACTCCTTATTGCCAAATTCAGACTTAAATTGAAGAAAGTAGGGAAAACCACCAGACCATTCAGGTACAACCTAAATCAAATCCCTTACGATTATACAAAGGAAGTGACAAATAGATTCATGGACTGGATCTGATAGAGTGCCTGAAGAACTCTGGATGGAGGTTTGTGACATTGTACAGGAGGCGGTGATCAAGACCATTCCCAAGAAAAAGAAATGCAAAAAGGCAAAATGGTTGTCTGAGGAGGCCTTACAAATAGCTGAGAAAAGAAGAGAAGCTAAAGGCAAAGGAGAAAAGGAAAGATATACCCATTTGAATGCAGTTATAACTAAATATGACAGTTTTTCCAAATGAAAACAAATGTCTTCAATTCTTTATCAAAGGCTAACACAGGGTCATGTTCAATAAGGATTACTTATTTTGAACTAGATATATCCAGAGGCAAAACCATTTGAACCCCTCAAGAAGAACACACTTTAGTGTAATTCTTGAATAGTGTGCTTTTTAAGGGACAAGTTATTTCTGTGATGTAGAATAATTTACATCATTTCATATATCACTGGGTAACACCCTTCTCATTACCTTAGGACTCTAATTCCTCAGGAACCCTCCCACTTCAGTCTTTGTTGAGTTCCTTTGTCCTCAGCTTTTTTGGATTGATGTGTTTTATTTTCCTTTCCTATACTAATCTCAAGTAAGATGGGTGTCTACTCATGCTCAGTCATGTCCAGCTGTTTGCAACCCCATGGACTGCAGCCCACCAGGCTCCTCTGTCCATGGAATTTCCCAGGCAAGAATACTGGAGTGGGTTGCCATGTCCTCTTCCAGGGAATCTTCCCCACCCAGGGGTCGAACCCGTGTCTCCTGTATCTCCTGCATTGGCAGGCTGATTCTTTACCACTGAGCCACCTGGGAAGCTGTGAGTGAATCTTATTAAAGCACCCCCCTTTCACCAGATAGAAGGCTTTGAGAAAGCAGAGAGTAATGTCTGTTTCTCTTTACCCATGTGCATCTGGTACTTAGCAGTGCCTGGCACGTAGTCGCCCTCGATATAGATTTGATGAATACATGTATTACTCAGTGAAACAGGCAGATTCTAAAATGAAGGGAATGAGGAGAAAAGCTACTTTAAAGCAACTTTAGAGCCTTTGCTTATGCCTGGCTCTGGCTCTTCACATAGCCTATACCACAGCATTGTGGACCAACATGACAAGTATAGGATGGTTTTCCCATCAGACGTGATAAATCTTGTCCATATCAAGCCATATGAAGTGGGATTCAAGAGTGAATTCAAAGGAGGAAAAGGCATATTTGACTTAATAGAGGGCTGCTTTAAATTATATCTGTTCTCTTGACCTTTTAAAATTTAGTTCCTTAAAGAAATTATTCACATCCAAGATAAGCAGATAAAAAGACTACAGAATGCACCCCTTTTCCTCTCAGCAACAAAGCACCCAAAAGGTTCAGTGGACAATGGTTAGAGACAGCATCCCTAGAGGCTGTACCCTTCTCATCCCCAGCCACATTTACTGTTGCCTCAGGACAAGTCAGGAAGGTAGGCAGACTGTTACCTGCATAGCACAACCGCAGCAGAACATGTTGCCCCAGTCTCCATCCAAAATACACCTCTCTTAGACTTTACTTATTTCTGAATGTGAACATTAAGCACTCGTTCCTTTTTATTTGTGCCCTGTGACTTTGCAAGCACTCCTGGTAGGGCATCAGATTAAGCATTTCTCTAAGTCCTTAAGAAGCATGAACTCATGGAGGTTTATCAACAGTAGGCATGGACCAGAAAATAGCATAAACATGCTGAGAACACCTGCAGGGGCTTGGAAAGGTGTCACCAATGTCTAGAAAACACGGGAATATAAGGGGCTGGTGGGGAACACAGAAGACACCTGGGTCTAATTTATAATCTTGGCAATACTGACTGTAACCTGCCTCATCAAATTAAACAGTTTTCAAGGAAAAGTTGTGTAGAAGCTCATATAGTTACCCATGGAGAGTGGAGAGTTTGTCTCATATCAGACAGCTGTGGGTATCTGACCTCATAGCTTCTCACCATATGCTGGGATCTCAGGGGTGGCCAGTTCCCTTTGAGATGGCTCTTGGCATTCATACCTCTCCCTCGGATGCTTTTCTGTCCCTCTTTTACTTCCTGGACAAGCTTGCTTTCCTAGGGAGATGAGTCATAGGATGAGTGATGAAAGAATCTCAAGCTACCAGACCATCTCACAAAGGAGAAAAGACCTCACAAGAGGAAAATAGGCTGAAGTGTGTATTCATAACCTGGGAAGTTGTTTTAAAAATCTGGTCCCATTACAAGAAGATTCTTTATTATAACATCACTGTCTGCAAAATGTCTAGGCTTCTCTGGTGACTTAGATGGTAAAAATCTACCTGCAATGTGCAGACCTGGGTTTGATCCCTGGGTTGGGAAGATGCCCTGGAGAAGGGAACAGCTATCTACTCCAGTATTCTGGCCTGGAGAATCCCATGGACTGTATAGTCCATGGAGCCACAAAGAGTTGGACATGACTGAGTGACTTTCACACCAGGCACAGTTGTGTCATTTAGGTGTGCATTTGTGTGTTTATTTACTTGTTTATTTGTTATTAGAACCTAACCTCATAATCAGATTGTCCTATTTGGGCTCCAAAAGTGGCTTGTCACTTGAGTGAAAGTAATTTCTCATGGCAGGTGCTCCCAGCAGGCGGCTGCTCATGGTACCTGCATCAGAAAGGTAGGTTTAGTTAGAGATTTTATTTTAATATGAAATCTGTATTGCAGCCTGAGCCTCTACTGGGTGATGTGCCAAAATTCATGTCTGCAGCATGATTTATTATGTGAAAATACCACAGAACTAATCAGTGGAGTTACTAATTAATACAAATCTGCATTTTTTGCATAAGCAATTAGTGCAAGGAGAGAGCAGTGAAAGAGGAAGTTCAACTCCTTTAATCTCAGTGCCTACTCAAGCGGAAAGACCCACCAGGGCCAAACTCGGGGAGATCTACATTTGGAATTTTCCCCCTTTGATTAGTTAAAGACATAAAAGGTCAAATTATCAATATTTAATTTATGTGAAAATGTATTTGTTAAAGAGGAAAAACGTGTTATTTTAAAAAGATGAGCCTCTAGGGATAAGTTCTTGAACTAAAAATAATTATATTTTCCATTTCAACAAAGTCTGAATAATATTTAATAAGGATTCTGGTTGCTCATAATATTTGAAAATTACATCCATAATTGGGAGATGTGTATGGTATACATTTCTCAGGTATTTGAATGACCAAAGGTGCTTGCTCTTCTCTACAGGACTTGTTCCAGTTAGTTTGGATGTGGTGTATTTGTGCAATATTCTAAGTCTGGTATGATTTAGATAATTGTGTGGCTCCCCAAATCTGAGCAAATATTCCATTTAGCTTTGGTTGATTTCCCCATGAATTTAATAGAAATGTTTATAGTATGAAATAACTGGACAGTTGATAGGATGATGGGTATGGAAAGAGAATTCTATTACCAATAAAATGTATGCTCAATAAAACAAAAGTAAAATAATTTTTACATTTTTTTGTTTCTGTGGACCAAAAAATGAATTCATTTTGGTTTAGATGCGATGTGCCGGATAAGTGCAATATTAGAACAATGACTATCTTTCTGAAAGGTATTCAATGTACAGTTTCTTTGTTTCAGACTCGTTAGTTCAAATTATAATTTAAACTTCCCTCTCCCCTAAACCTGGATATCTAGTTTTCCAGGAAACTTGTCCTGAAAAGGAGGTTGCTAATTAAATGCAGATTAACAGGGCTCTCTGATTAAAATTTCGGGATGTGGGAGTCAGTGGTTTTGTGAAAGAAAGCAAACAGGAAAAAGCGAAAGCCACTGGAAGGGAAGTCGTTTTGCTGAACCTTAATGCTGTGAGTTTCAGAAGGAGGAACTGTCCACGGTGCTGATACCCCGAGGAAGCCACTTTTCCTACAAGCTGCCTGGGGCTCTAAACCAGGCTTGCCAGGCTTGTCCTGGTTTTGGGAACTTGTCAGATCGCCCCCAAACCCCTGCAGCAGCATTGTTCAAGAGAAGCTCAAGTGCCATCGGCGTGTCTCTGCTGTCCACTCAAGCAGCAACACCAACTACCGGGGACTTGGGTTGGCCTGTTGCTCTCTGTTAAGGCAAAGGTTGGCAGATAACCCGCCGTTTCTCGGTTATCCAGCCCGTGGTGGTCCCCTTTAGACAGCATGCTGTTTCTCAATCCAGCTGAAACAGGTGTGAGTCCTCTGTTTATGGTCCTCACCTGAGAGCAGGAGCACCCACTAACACACACTCACTCGTGCACACTCACCCCCCCCCGCCATATGTACACTCACATAACTTAAAACACATTCACACCGACAAATCACACAGATATTAACAATCACATAGGCTCATATGCACATCCACACATATGCTTTTGTACACTCAGTCACATTCACTTGTACACTTCAGCACACGCACACAGGCACACACACAGCAGGCCTTGAGCAATTGTGTCAGTAACCCGCTCCAGCCAGGACTTGGAGCCGAGTTGATTTTGTGTTGGTGATACGCATGTTGGATGGATGGTTTAAGGAAAGCTCCTCCCTCCTGCCTGGGAATCAAAGATGAAGTCCCTCGGGGTCTGTAGGCGCCATGAGGGGAGCTGCCCACGCCCCGGAGGGATTAGGAGCTCGTAAATAATAAATAAAAGAGCCCAGGCGGCCCGAGTTGGGGGAAGCCTGGTGCTAAATCACTCCCCAAATCACAGCCGCGTCGAGCTCCATCCAATAGCTCTAAGCGATTTGTGGGGTTGAGGGTTGGAATCAATTTTTTCCCCCGATCTCGCAGGTGCAATATGAATCAATTATCTTAATTAAGATTATGCCGCAAGCCCAGGAGATTTGGGGAGGACGGGTTTTGCGCTCGAGGCTACGGCAAGGCATTTTAATAGCTACTCTCTTGCTCCCGGCTCTCCCCCGCCGCCCGCCTGTCGAGCCCGGGCAGCTCCAGCCTCTGGCCAGGATCTGGGCGCACAGTGGCTCCCTGGAGGCGAAGGCGCAAACCCCGCGCTGAGCCCGCGATCTGGGCGGAACCCCCACGGCCTACCAAGGGCCTCTGGGCCACGGGCCCTAGGAGGGGCCCGCAGCTCTCGGCCCTCCAGCGGACCCTGCACCCTACGGTCTGGCTCGCCGCTCAGCACCTCCCGCGCCTCGAACGTGCCCAGGCCGGCACACCCCTCTCCTGGGAGGGGTGGGGAGAGGGCGCGGGCGCCGCTGGAGGTCGGTGGGGCCGCCCGGGTCGTACGTAATACTTTCATTGAACGCAGACCTCCCTTCGCTAGAGCGAGCATCTGTTTCCCCGAGAAACAGGTCACCGCCGGGGACGCCAGCCCGGCCCCAGCTCTTTATCTCAGCCCTGTGAATGCACCGCACCGCCCCCTTCCCCCGCCAGCAACACGCTTCCCAGCTCCTAAGTCCCGGCCTCCGCCTCCACCCCCGTCTCTCCCCCCGCAGCTCCGCACGCGGCGCCACACGCCTCCCGCGCCCCAGCCTCCCCGCCCCGGCCACACTCCCCTCGCCGCCTCGCGCTCCCCTTCCCGCCGGCGCTCCGGCAGCCGCTTTAACGGCCGGGACCGCCCGGGCCGCGCCGCGCGCTCCGAGCGAGGGCTGGGGGTGGGGGCCGACAGATTCGGGGCATTGCTCGAGGGCGGTGAGTCGTGAAAGCGGCTTTTGTTGCCCGCGCGTGCGGTTCGCGTGCCGCTCGGCGGCCTGCAGCGCCCAGTGGGGACGGGAGCTGGAAGGTCTACCGCCAACAGGCTGTGGGGACAGAAGGACAGGGAGAGGACTGAGAGACTCGGGAGGGGGACAGTGTGCAACCGTCGAAAGAAAGTCCAAAAGAGGGAGAAGAAAATACGGAGGCAGGACGGGGCCGCGACTCTTCCACGGTACTGAGCCAGCCACGCGGGCAGTCCATCCTCTCTGAGCGTGGCGGCTGCCACTGTCCTCTGGCCCCAGTTTCTCTTCCCCCTCTTCCCCTCTCAACAAAAGGCAACTCAATCCAGGCCTCTCCCCTTCCAGATCCGACTACTGGCCTGCAGTCTCCCGGGGCGGGGATGGGGGTGAGAGGGTGTGAGGACGGAGTGGGGGTAAGGGGAGTGGGCAATCTCCACCGCGGGGCGCGCCGTGGGTAGACGTTCCCCGCGCGCAGGCGGGTCGGCCCAGGGCGCCCGGAGGCTCACTGAGAGCGGAATTAAGGGTGAATTTATCAAGCGGAGAAGGAGGGAAGGAGTCTAGTTAATTCCCGCGCCGGAGTCTCTCGGCTGGCGACAGACCCACATTTCCCTTCCTTGCCTGCCCAGGAACATCTGGCCCCACCAAGACTCTCCTGTGCTCCATGGGGTGTCCCAAACTGAGGAAGTTGCCGCTTCTGGGTGGGGGATCCCCTAGGCCATCCGCAGGCCTTCGGGGTAGCTGAAGCCCTCTTCCCTCTCGCCCCCGGCACCCCCTTTGAAGCTCCCCTAAGACTGAGAAGTGAGGGCCAGGGCACATCCCCGCGGGCACGGTGCGCTAGGCTGTTGGGGCAGCTGCTGGGAGAATGGCAACACTTGGTCCACCTGCGCGTGTCCTGGGACCTCCAAGTTGGGGACCGGCCCTGCAGGCTGTTACTCAGATGGCCCTCAAATTATAACCCGTCACTTAAGATAAAGACTGTACAGGGTAAATACCAAGACTAGGCTCCTGAGAGAATTCTTCTGTACTCTTCTGCGATCCTGGTACATTTATGAGTGAAGGCAAAAGCCAAAACTCTACAGTTTTGCCCTGGAAGCTCAGCATGGTTCATGCTACGCTTTGGGCAATGGGATCTCCCATCCCTTTATTCCTCTTTCAGACGTGCACTGGACCAGGAAGACTGCATGGCAGCCTTCTAGACACCAGGGATAATGTTAGGACCCTCTGCCCCTCCCCACCGCATCCCCCCTCCTGTTCCCAGATGCACCCAACCCCAACCTCTCAGCCCTGACACTGTTTGCAAACTCAAGGGGCTTTTAGAGCAATTGCCTTTAAATAAGCAATTCAAGTTCACAGCATTCATTGTAAGGGGACACGGGTCTGGGAGGGGATAAGGGGTTAGTTAATGGAGGATTAGAGGAGAGTCTGATGGAGAAAGAGTGGGCAGGGAAGAGATACAGCCAACTTTATATATATATATATATATATATATATATAAAATTCTGAAACATACCTTGGTGGAAAGGGGTGAATAAAGAATCACCATTTAAACACAAATATGGGTCCTTTAGAATTAGGAAGCTCTCTGGGTTTTGCTTGACTTGCAAGGTAGAGGGTCATTATCAGTCTTTAAGGTCTGGAAAAGTAGCCATCAGCCCTTCCCAGAGTTGTACTAATGCCCTTTCTAGGAAGAGGAGTGAAAAAGACCCCTTTAGAATAGGCCCTTTGCATCCTCCCTTTGAGAAGGCTTGTCTCAACTAAGTTCCTATTTACAAGCCTGAAAGTAGGGACTAAGGGGTACAAGGCAGCCTGTGGCAGGGAACCAGGGTGAGGACCCACTTTACATCCACCCAATGACCTTGGTTAAACGGCAGAATCTCAGCGTCAGAGAAGTCCTCTAGTTTTCATGCAAGAGAGCTCCGGAGGCCACTAAGCCAAGGACTAGCGCGATCTGAGGACGAGGGCTACAGGCAAGAGGGGTTTACGGACAGTGAGGAGTCCCCAGGGTCAAGAGTAGGCGAGCGTCACGAGGGCCGGGTTGCACGGATGGTGAAGTAGAGTGACCAGTACCGAATTTTGTCTACTGTTGGGGCTGGGCGTGGGCGATCCAGTTAAGGATGCTAGGGACTAGCCTCACAGCTGCGTTTAGAGATGAAGCTGTTTTAATACAGAATACATGTTGCTTAAGGGGCTGGTGGAGACTGGGAGAAGCCACCCTTTGGTGCCAACGAACAAAGCGTCTACTAAGAGGGAGAAACCAAGAGATTGACACCTTAGAGAGGGCAGGGAGTGCCCAGGAAACCAGAGCCTGGGCGAGGAGTCCAGAGGAGTCTCCGCTTCTGCTTTTCACCTTTGCCCTACTTAGCGGCCCAGCGCGGGCCACTCACTCTGATCTAAAGCCAGTCGGTGTTCGCTTTCCCGCTCTCTTCTCTCCAACTCCTTCTCCCCGTCTCTCCCCCCACCGCGCGCCCCTTCTCCCTTCTGCCGCCTGAAAGGGTTAATCTCTCCTGCGGGTAAAAGCAGGTCCGCGGAGCCTCTAACTGGCGACAGATGGGCCACTTTCTTCTGGCCACAAAGGGGCCGGAATGGAGCGCTCCGCGGCATACAAATGGGCAGGTCACGTGGTTCCCGGCTCTTGGCTGGACTGGGAGGACCATATGGCGCATGCCGGGGAGGAAGGAGATGGGGCGGGGGTAGGGATGGGGAAGAGGCGAGCTGGAGTCGGATGCGGGTGGGAGGGGAGCAAGGCTGAAGGGGCGGGGGCGGGAGGAGAAGGGCGGAAGGGAAGGGAGCGCGGCACCCCGGCGCGTGCGCAGGCGCGCGGCGCTGGAACCTGCTCGCCCGCTGGGCTCCTGGCCCCGCCCGCGCTCAGCATCACCAACTCGGCTATATAACCTGAGCGCCCGCGCGGCCGGGACACGAGGAATTCGGCCCACGCAGAAGGCACGGCGCCCGGAGGCCCCAGGGTTATGAGACCATCACTGCTCAGGACTTACTAACAACTGCAGGTAATTAAATCCTTTAATTTTTATTGGGAATAAAAGCAACTGAAGATGTACCTACATATTCTGTATGTGTGCGTCTGTGAGCGCGTTTATGCGTTGAGACAGGCATTCCTTTTCATAATTGCAATGCGAATACGCACACAGTTTGAGGCGCATCACTCAAATACCTGCTGCAGGCATAATAATTTTAAAAAATGTTTTACTTTTTTTTTGTTTTGTTTTGTTTTTTGGAGGGGGGGAAAGTATAGGAACGTCTTTAGATTTTCTTAAAATATTTAATGCCCTATAACTCTATGGTTATTTCCTAGTGGTGATTTCAAAGTTCTGAAAGCTGATAACTACTTCAGTATTTCACTTCTAACAATAAGGGCGATCAAAAGCCCACATTACCAAGGTTTATTTTGTAGACATGTATTTTATGCACATTGGGAGTAGCAAATTATTTTTTCAGTGAATGAAAGGGGTACTGATACTTTGAATATACACACCCTAGAAAATAAACCGGGTTGAGAGGTAGTTTAGTTGAGAGGGGATAAAATGTGGAGAAAGAGAGAGGGACCCACTCCTGCTACCTGTTACTGTCCCAGAGTCGGCCAAGTCCCCAGCAGCCACTGATTCAGTTGTCTAACTAAAGGCTTTTTATTTTCCTTATTAGAAGCAGCAACTTCGCTATTGCCATTCTCTGACCGTTATAATTACTCAATCTTTTAAACGGAGGTTTGAAGCGAAGTTTGAAAAGCCCCAATAAAGAGCGGGCGGCCCTTTCAATGGGCTGTTTATTAGAGAGGAGCCTTTCGCACCTGATCCCCGGCGCGCGGAGCAGGGCTCCGCGCCGCGCCCCGGGTTCTGGCCCGGTAGCAAGCGCTTTTATACAAGGCGGAAATTCAGCAGAGGGTCAGCGGGGTGGGAGGTGAGAAAAGAAAGGCAAGGGTGGGAGCGACACCCCGGGACACCCCCCGCCCACTTTTGTTACCAAATGTTTCGTTGATGGTGAAATAATTTTGTGGAAAATACTTTTTTTCCACCATGCATTTGCTTTTCAATCTCCACTCCATATAATCTTCTTAAATATCACTGCCAGCTTTAGTAAATTACGTAAGGGATCTTCAACTTTAATCGCCGAGTGCTGGGAGGCCAGAACCGAGATGGAAACATAATTGCAATTTTCAAACTCGTCTTTTTTTGTGGAGTTGTGACTTTGAGCTCATGCAAATAAACATGAAGTCGCCGAAATACACACTCATTTTCACACACATTATCCTACCAGATAATCACCATAAACACACACAATCACAAGGACACATACTCCAGAAGTGTACTTATGACACCTACTCTGGCTCCTATTTGCAGCTCTGTCCTGTCTCCGACGTACCAGCGGGGCACACACAGGCCACTATAGAACTGCATTTAACTTTTCCTCGGGGGCATTCATTTTGTAATCAGCTGGTAATTCTTTTCACATGCATTTCTCTAGGGTTAGTGAGAGCTGAAGGCCTATGTAGTTTTTGAATGTAGCGTTTTTCTCCTTTTCTGTTTTCCCCTCTCCCCTGTTGAATGTAGGAAACCTAAACATGACCAAATCGTACAGCGAGAGTGGGCTGACGGGAGAGCCTCAGCCCCAGGGTCCTCCAAGCTGGACAGATGAGTGTCTTAGTTCTCAGGACGAGGAGCATGAGACGGACAAAAAGGAGGATGACCTGGAAGCCCTGAACGCGGAAGAGGACTCACTGCGGAACGGGGGAGAGGAGGAGGAGGAAGATGAGGACCTGGAGGAGGAGGAAGAAGAGGAGGAGGAGGACGATGATCAAAAGCCTAAGAGACGCGGCCCCAAGAAGAAGAAGATGACGAAGGCGCGCCTCGAGCGTTTTAAGCTGAGACGCATGAAAGCCAACGCCCGGGAGCGGAACCGCATGCACGGGCTGAACGCAGCGCTGGACAACCTGCGCAAGGTGGTCCCCTGCTACTCCAAGACACAGAAGCTGTCCAAAATCGAGACGCTGCGCTTGGCCAAAAACTACATCTGGGCTCTGTCGGAGATCTTGCGTTCAGGGAAAAGCCCTGACCTGGTCTCCTTTGTACAGACTCTCTGCAAGGGTTTATCCCAGCCCACCACCAACCTGGTTGCCGGCTGCCTGCAGCTCAATCCTCGAACTTTTCTGCCTGAGCAGAACCAGGACATGCCCGCGCACCTGCCGACCGCCAGCGCTTCTTTCCCTGTGCACCCCTATTCCTACCAGTCTCCGGGGCTGCCCAGCCCGCCCTACGGCACCATGGACAGCTCCCATGTCTTCCACGTCAAGCCGCCGCCTCACGCCTACAGCGCAGCGCTGGAACCTTTCTTTGAGAGCCCTCTGACTGATTGCACCAGCCCTTCTTTTGACGGACCCCTCAGCCCGCCGCTCAGCATCAATGGAAACTTCTCTTTCAAACACGAACCGTCCGCCGAGTTTGAGAAAAATTATGCCTTTACCATGCACTATCCTGCAGCGACCCTGGCAGGGGCCCAAAGCCACGGATCAGTCTTCTCCGGCGCCACTGCCCCTCGCTGTGAGATCCCTATAGACAATATTATGTCCTTCGATAGCCATTCACATCATGAGCGAGTCATGAGTGCCCAGCTCAATGCCATCTTTCACGATTAGACGCACGTCAGTTTCACCGTCGCTGGGAAACGAACCCACTGTGCTTACAGTGACTGTCGTGTTTACAAAAGGCAGCCCTTTGAGTATTACTGCTGCAAAGTGCAAATACTCCAAGCTTCAAGTGATATATGTATTTATTGTCTTTACTGCCTTTGGTAGAAACAGGGGATCAAAGTTCCTGTTCACTTTATGTATTATTTTCTATAGCTCTTCTATTTTAAAAAAATAATACGGTAAAGTTAAAAAAATGCACCACAAATTTGGTGTAGCTGTATTCAGATCATATTAATTATCTGATCGGGATAACAAAATCACAAGCAATAATTAGGATCTATGCAATTTTTAAACTAATAATGGGCCAATTAAAATATATATAAATATATATTTTTCAACCAGCATTTTACTACTTGTTACCTTTCCCATGCTGAATTATTTTGTTGTGATTTTGTACAGAATTTTTAATGACTTTTTATAATGTGGATTTCCTATTTTAAAACCATGCAGCTTCATCAATTTTTATACATATCAGAAAAGTAGAAATTATATCTAATTTATACAAAATAATTTAACTAATTTAAACCAGCAGAAAAGTGCTTAGAAAGTTGTTGTGTTGCCTTAGCACTTCTTTCTTCTCTAATTGTTAAAGAAAATTGCACAATTTGAGCAGTTCATTTCACTTTAAAGTCGTTCTCTCTCCTTAAAATGAAAACCAGATCCATAATTCTTAAGAGAAGGAATAAAAGCAAGAGATGTATTCCCTATCAAAACATATCAATTCAGTACTTGCACAAGCTTGTATATACATATTATAAACAAATGCCAACATACCCTTCTTTGAATCAAAAGCTGCTTGACTATCACATACAATTTGCACTGTTTCTTTTTAGTCTTTTACTCCTTTGCATCCCATGATTTTACAGAGAATCTGAAGCTATTGATGTTTCCAGAAAATATAAATGCATGATTTTATACATAGTCACACAACTGGTGGTTTGTCATATATTCATGTAATGAATCTGAGCCTAAATCTAATCAGGTTGTTAATGTTGGGATTTTATACCTATTGTAGTCAATTAGTACAGTAGCTTAAATAAATTCAAACCATTTAATTCATAATTAGAACAATAGCTTTTGCATGTAAAATGCAGTCCAGAATAAGTGCTGTTTGAGATGTGATACTGGTACCACTGGAATCAATATGTACTGTAATCTTGTTTGTAATTCTGTATATTATGGTGTAATGCACAACTTAGAAAACACTCATCCAGTTGCAATAAAATAGTATTGAAAAATCTGAACAATTGTTGCATTTCTTCTTAAAGTGATTTTTTTAAAGTATAAATAATTCCTATGGAGAACAATTGCTTAACTTGCTGAGTTAAAAAAAATACTAAGTTCTCTTTGCAGAAAA